TGAGTTTATGTTAGGTGATTTGCGCATGGGTAAATCAGAGAGAAGATTGGGTGCTCTCAGCAGTTTGGTGATTAAGTATCTTCATGGTTTTTATCCATTAATAGGAGTTAGCAGGAATCAAACCCAGCTGTCATTGATGAAGAAGCGGGACGCTGCAGTTACTCATAGAAGCCAGGAGAGGGGAGTGTTCGGCCATTTGTCTAGTTCATGCAGCGTGCGTTCTCTTTTTTTTGTCTGCGCTAAAGGCGTGATTAGGGGCTGTCTCTTTGTCCGTTGCCGCAGAGTGATCTCATTGGACACTGCTGTACTGTGACACGGTTTGTGTTTGGCAGTGGACACCAGGCTCTCACTGCCGGTGTCGGGTGGCTGGCAGTTTCTTTTTCATGTGCATTGTATTCACAGAGATTCCAAACAGGAACACCCCAAGAATCCATCCCTTAGGAGAGCCCATGACATGGTGGTTAGATGCCCACGCTGTGGCCCTAGGCTGACCCAACTTTGTAACCCAGCTCTGCCACTCAGTCTGTGTAACCCTGAGTAAGTGATTTAATCTCCTGGAGCTCAGTTTCCTCACTTAGAAAACAGAGCTAAAAATAATATCTATCTGAGTCAGCCAGGGGGGTATGGTGGTTAAGATGGCTGGATCCCACATGGCCAATTGTGTGGTTCAAGTCGCCAACCCGGAGGCTTGAAAAACACTCCATGTATGCGTATGTGTGTCCAAAATCCCAAGAAGAGAATAGAGGAGAAGGGATTGTGGTGTGGCCATTCCCCTAGGGGGTGATTTCTCACTTTCTCTCTCTCTCTCTCTTTCTCTCTCACTGTCTCTCTCAGCGAGCGTACTCTATGCAGAAATCTAAAAGAAGAAAAAGAGTCATTGTGTCAACCCTTACTAAACCAAGCTGGGGATGGCCAGGAAGATCTTTCTCGTGCTAGCATGCTTGATATCAAGAACTATCATTGGGGCTGGCAGGTGGCATGGTGGTTAAAGGCACTGGACTCCCACATGGCTGGCTGTAGTTTGATACCTTGACCTAGTAGATTGCTTTCTCATGTTCCCTTTCTCTCTCACTCTGTCCCTTGTCCCTCTCTGGTCAATTTAAAAATAAATAAATAAAGTTACATAAAATATTTTTTGAGTTTTTTGCTATAGGGTGTAAGCGCTCGTCAGAAAGACAGAGAGAGACAGAGAGATAGAAAGTGAGAAATCACCCCCCAGGGAGGATGACCACGCTGCAATTTCTTCTCCTCCAGTCTCCTCTCAGGATCTTGGGCACGCACGCACATGCACCTGGCATGAGTTTAAGCCACCAGGTCCGGGACTTGAATCGCGGTTGACTACATGGGAGTCCAGCAACACAGCCATTATGCCAACTGCTGGTCCCATAAAATAATTCTTTAAAAACTAAATAAAAGGACAATTATTAAAGGATTCTGTCAGAATTATAACCTTGCACAAAAACCACTGCAGCCCGACACAAGAACTACTTCTATAAAGACATCTGCCCAGAGACTGGCTGTTCAACTTTGGAATGATGCCACTTTTATCAATCTTGGTAGTTGAGGATAATGATCACAAAACAACTGGTATAAAACTTTGTCTCTTGGGAACCAGCAGTTAGTATAATGGCTATGTTGCTGGACTCCCACATAGTCGACCGCGGTTCGCGTCCCGGACCCGGTGGCTTAGAACTCATGCCGGGTGCATGTGCATGTGTGCCCAAGATCCCGAGATGAGAATGGAGGAGAAGGGATTGCAGCATGACCATTCCCCCTGGGGGGTGATTTCTTGCTTTCTGTCTCTATGTCTCTCTCTGTCTGGCGAGCGCACACGCCCTATAGCGAAAACCTCTCAAAAAAAAAAAAAAAAAAACCCCACAAAACTTTGTCTCTTCTCTACTTCTAGTTTTTGTCTTTAAAACCTGCCTGAGAACTGTAAGACCTCAGGGAGCATGTTCGAGGCCACCTAAAATGTGTTCACTTGGGCTGCATGTTGGCTATCGCCTTCATATTTATGCCCAGTAAAATCCTTTCACTTTAGATATTTTGCCTTGGTTTACCTTGCTTAGGTTAACAGTGGTAAGCACTAATCCTAGACTATCTACCCTTACTGTCATTTGTCAGAGATCTCACTCTCTCGGTGAGTCACAGCATACTCTGAAAACCCATCAGGAGGTGAAATATCAAACTATACTCAGTTTCTTGTTTTTTTTTTTTTTAAAGAATTGTTTTTTTAACTTTATTTATTTTTTAAAATTTGACCAGAAAGGGACAGAGTGCATGTGAGTGAGAAAGAGAGAGATTGAGAGTGGAAGCAAGCTGCCAGGTCTGGGACACAAACCACACTCGGCCATGTGGGAGTCCAGCGACCTTAACTACCATGCCACCTGCCAGCTCCTGAACTGCTGTGCTTCTTCTAGCAGAAAGGGAGTTAACGGGTTGTCTTCTATCTCCAGTTTGTCAAGTTAAAAAAAAAATTATATTTACATATATATGCTGGTCTTGGTAAGGAGACTTTTATTTGAAGGATTATTTATTCAAGGGCCGAAAGGGACACTTGCGATAAATAGGGGGAGGGGAGGGGAAGTGTTGCAGCAGGAGAATGCTGTGACCATAACGTGTGCAAGCAAGCACAGCCAGGACTGAGAGTGGAGAAGTGGTATGAAAAAATGGCAGATGGGAGAGCCCATGAAAAAATGTTGGACCCTGAGGCCAGCCTACTCTCCGATGAGGCTGCATTTCTGCTCAGGCTGAGGGAGGGCCAAAGTTTAGGGTCCTGGAAGGAGGAGGGAAGCTTAATCAAAGTTCGGTTAAACAAGCATTTTGTTCCCATTGATCAGCCAGACAAGCAGGTCCACTAATCCTTTGTGAAGCAAGGAAGGAGAATTTTGAGAGTCTGTGTCTGGTCTTGTCATAGGTAAATGAAAGGGCTCTTATCTAAGTCATACCGGGAAGGGTGGGTCTTTGCAGTAAGCCAGTTTCTGGGACACAAAGGAGCTGTTAGCCTTCCCTGTTTTCCAGGATCATGGGGCTCAGATTAAATCAATTTTGCCAGGTTGCAAATTACACATTTCCTATTTCTCTGGTTGTTGTATTTCAGATGAAGGATGAAAGGTAGGCTTTACTATGACCTGAGCAGTTTCTGGATCCTTGTAGAGAGCGGCTACTCTGTACGCAGAGGGGCTGTGGAAAGGCCTTGTTTTATCTACGATTCCCTTGGCAGGCTGGACTGTCGGGAACATCCTTGCTTAGTACTGCAGCTTGTGTGGCTCTTGGCATTTCTCTCTGACCGAAAAGTGGATCCCTGAGACGTGGCATCGAAAATGAGGCAACACCAGCGTCAGTGGTCAAACCGCACTTGAGCACAAGCAGCCCTGGCTCTGCCGCTAGAGGCCACGCAGCTTTCTCGTGCATTGGCCCAGTGCCTGCTCTGGCTCAGCACTGAAATGCTGCTCACCGACCCGCTTCCACTGCAGGGTTCTCTCCTCCCGGGATGTCTGGAGGCTTTCCCATGTCGCTGATCGCACCTCTCCCGTAAGAACCCAAACATCCGGCTGGTGCTGCAGGGTTTTCTGTACTGGTGTGCACCTGTGTCCTCCCCTCTCGATATTCCTCTTCTTTTCGGAGGCTTTGTTCTGTAGTGACTTAGAGCTAGGTCATCTCGTCATTCCTACAACTTGCTGTATAACCCGGAAGCCAGCCTGGATCTAGAGTTGGTCCTAGGAGCTGACCGCGAAATCCCCAAGGCTGTTCCTACCCCTCTTTATTCCACGTTCCTGCCAAGTTCTGAGCAGCCAAGCTTTGATTTGCTTTTCCCTTCAAGAGCCAAGGGAATAAAGCTGTCAAGTACAAACTGATGATTTGAACTAATTCCGAGGATTTGGGAAAATGCTCAGAATTCAGCTGGGGAGGGAGGAGCAGCCGCCTGCCAGTGTCCACTGGGAACTGGGTGACCTTTGTGGGTCATCCCCGCCTGCCCCTCCCCTCTGCTCTTTTCCTCCTTCCTTAAGAGACTCCTCTCTTCCCCTCCCGGCTGCCACTCCAGGAGCCAATGCTCTTTCCCCCTGCTAAAGACAAAACAAAAATTGCTGTTCTAAAAGAAAGGGTATGAATCATAGAGTCCTATAATAACCAGGAGGAACTTCGGTGAGTTATCTAGTCCAACTCCCTCATTTTGTAAAGTACCTGCCACTCCACATTTGGAAACCTAAATCTGGCCCTTTTTCTTTACATCTTGGAAGGTTCTAATTACGCGTTTTCCTAGAGGTGGAAGAGAAGTGGCTTTTCATCTGCTGGTTTCCTTCCTTCCCCCAGAGGCTGCTTCTCCTAGTAGAGAAAGGCACGTTTTGGCATCTCAAAAGGAAAGCAACAAAACATTTGGGAATATTCTTGGATCCCAGGTGTGAAGAAAAATCCAAAGAGAAATCTGAAACAATGGAGATCCTTGCTTCACATAAAGATAAGCCTCTTACAGAGAGGCATTAATTAAATAGGGGAGTGGGTGTGGGCTGAGTATTCAATGAGGTTGTGAACTTTTTTTTTTTTTTTAAGAGGTATTTTTGCTAGAGGGCGCATGTGCTTGCCCGGAGAGACAGAAAGCGAGATCACTCCCCAGGGAGGATGGCCACGCCACAATCCCTTCTCCTCCACTCTCCTCTCGGGATCTTGGGCAAACATGCGCATGTGCCCGGCATGTTTTAAGTTGCTGGGTCCAGGGCTTGAACTCCAGTCGACCATGTGGGAGTCTAGCTATGTAACCATTACACCATCTGCTGGTCCCAAGAATATCTGTCTTTTAAGCTGTATTTCAAATACCTATTACTAGTTAACTATAAAAACTAGTGGCTTTAATACAATCATGTATTATGCATGCGGTTTAGTGGGTAATGTTAGATTTGATTTGGGAGCGATGGCGAAGTCAGGGCGGCAAAGACGAAAATACCCGAGTCAGGCCTTGGGGTTTAATAAAACCAGCATAATTTATTCTACAAAAGCTCTCGGGTCAGGTCCCTGGGTCTGGTCAGAGGCCAAGGGAGTCACGCCCAGGGTGGGCGCTGCTCATCCTTAAAGGGCCATTGTCCAACAGGTGCTCGCCATGCGTCCTTGCCTGGCCAATGAAGTTCGCTGTTTCTGTTCAACTTTGGCAGGGGCGCCAAATGCTGAGGGGTGGGAAAGTTTGTTGGTGATGGAGGGCCAGATACAGAAAACAGGAAAGTTTGGCCGGCGGGAATGTTCCCTTCCTCCAGCCCTTACAGGTAAGGAGTTTGGGGAGGACTGTGCTGATAACGTGTCCTCCTGGCTTTGCTTGGGGCAGTGAGGCCCGGAACCTACACTCCCAAGGTGGCGTATTTCCTCATGTGCCTGATGTCCCCGCTCTCCTGGGTTCTCTGCCTGGCACTGCAGCCCCCAGGGTCTCTTCACGTGGCACGTGGCTGGGACTTCTCTTTGCATGGTAGCCTGAGGGGAGTTGAACTTCTCTGAAACAGAAAGTAGATGCTGCCAGGCCAATTAAGGCTGCACCCAAAAGTGGCACAAGGTCGCTATGGCCCTAGTCTGTCAGTCAAAGCAGCCAGAGAGCCTGCCCAGGCTGGAGGAGGCGTGTTAGGTCACCGGACAGGAAAGCAAAGCGGGGAGGAGATACCGCCGTGGCCATCTTTAGAACATATAATGTGTCACAACCTTTCATCTCACTCTTAGGAATTTATGGTATGGAAATAATGCCAAGAAAAAGACAGTCAAGTTCATTTCAAATTTTGTAGTAAAAAATAAAAAGAAAATAGCCTACATATCTACTAATGATTAAATGGCTAAGTAAATTATTACACAACAGCTAACGGGAATAGAAGGCCATAATTAAGACGATGATGAATGATATGAACGAATGTTATGGAAGAACAAAAAGTAAAGGTAAAAATCACATGCACAATGATAATACGTGCGGAAAAGCCTGTCTACATCTGGACAAAGTCTGGAAGGAAATACACAGAAGTGAATATAATTGCATGGAGATGGTAAGATTATGCTTGTCTTAGGCCAGTAGGCGATGGGGTTAAAGTGGCTGGATCCCACTGAGACGATACTAGGGTTCAAGTTCCAGGGCTGGCAGCTTAAAAATCACTCTTGCGCATGTATGTGCATGCCCAAAATCCCAGGAAGAGAATGGAGGAGAAGGGATTGTGGCGTGGCCGTCCCTCCGGGGGGGTGATTCCTCACTTTCTGTCTCTCTGTCTCTCTCTTTATGGCGAGGGTACGAGCCCTATAGCAAAACCCTCCCCCCCCCAAAAAAAAATCCCAAGGGGAGAATGAAGAAGAGATTGTGGTGTGTAGCTGTACCCCCTGGGGGCAATTTCTCGCTTTCTGTCTCTCTGTCTCTCTGTTGAGTGCACACACCCTATAGCAACAATCTCCTTAAAAAAAAAAAAAAAAAAGAAGAAGAAGAAGAAGAAGGAGGAACAACCCCAAAAAAGGAAGCCACTAGAACACGCCACTAGGACACTGAAAGACAAGGGGATTTGGGGGTTTTTTTTTTTTTTTTTTTTATTTATTTATTTATTGTAGAGGTTTTTGCTATAGGGCATGTGTGCTCCCAGAAAGACTAAGAGAGACAGAAAGTGAGAAATCACACCCCCACACACACACCAGAGGACGGCCATGCCGCAATCCCTTCTCCTCCATTCTCGTCTCCTCTCGGGATCTTGGGCATGCACATACACGCACCTTGCGTGAGTTTAAGCCACTGGGTCCAAGACTCGAACCACAGTCGACTACATGGGGACTCCAGCAACATAGCCATTACGCCAACTGCTGGTCCCATAAGGGAATTTTTAAATCTTATCAGAATGAATTTATTCTAGCCAAGGTTTCTAAAATAGTCGGTGTCAATTTGGTCTAAGAATTTTCCTAGAATACCCTAATGAAGACTAGATCAATTCTAACCCCCACATCACAGCCTCTGAGTGCCTTGGGACTTGGTGTTTTGTAGGAGGAGAGGCTGCGGAGTCTGCAGTAGTCTGTGCCAGCCAAACTACAAGCGAGGTCCCAGAGCAGCCGCCAGATTAGCCTCCCTCCCTTGGACTATGGCTCTCATGGCTGAGGGTGACCTCCAACTCCTCACAATTAAACTCAACCTTTGGTCACATATCGCTTTCCCTATTACCCTAACTTGCCAATCATTGCTGCGTTTTCTTTAAGTACTCTTTTGAAGAAAGGTGAAAGTGCATAAAGACCAAAGTCTTAAGAAGGTTGATTAAATTGTAGCAAATAACGAACTTTAAGAAAAGGAACATGTCTGATTAGCTGGCATGCTCATTAATTGTGTTTATACAGTTAATAATTGGAGAAAACCTGGGTACAGGAAGAGTTTAGGTTATGTTCTGGTTGAATTATAGGTTTTAAAATTTATTGTAATATTAAAAAATACTTATTTACTTAATTTTATTATTATTACTATTTTTAAAGAATTATTTTTCTGAATTTTATTTATTCATTCATTTATTTATTTTAATTTGACCAGAGAGGGACACAGAAAGAGAGAGAGAGAAGGCAAGCTACCAGGTCCAGGACTCGAACTGCAGTTGGCCATGTGAAAGTCCAGTGCCCTTAACCACCATGCCACCTGCCAGCCCCCATTATTAGTATTTTAATTTGCTATTGGATACATGTGCTCACCAGAGAGAGAGGAAGAAAGTGAGAAAACAAGCCACCAGGTCTAGGACTCAAACCATCGTTGGCCATGTGGAAGTCCAGCACCTTAACCACGACACCACTTGCTGGCCTCAAATTTATTGTAAACTAAAAATAAATTTTAATTGCAGAGGGTGCATGTCCTCACCAGAGACAGATAGAGAAACAGAGAGAGAAGTACCCCACCCCACAATGGGGTGTGGTCACACTGCAGTCCTTTCTCCTCCACCTCTTCATCCTGTCAGGATTTAGGGCACACATACATGTGCTCTCAACATGCATTTCAAGCCTCTGGGACTGGGATTTGAACCGCGGGATCCAGTTCCTTTAATTTCGAGGCTGCAGGGCCAGGTCCTGGTGGATTATTGATTTCATTTAATCATCACTGGGAAAGTTTTTTAAAAAGGGAGGAAAGATATTTACTGGTCAAATTAACATTTGAATTAACATTTCTATATATATATTTTTTTTTTCATCTGAAATTGTGATGATTTCTTACTTTTCCCCTCTCTTTTTCTCTCTCTAGCAAGTGCATGTACCCTGTAGCAAAAAACTAAAACCAAAAACCAAGAACCAAAAAACCTGTACAAGATTTCCTGTGCACCAGCTAGCAGGCAGCCCAGCCAGGACATAAACGCAGGTATTCAAGACCCAGAGTCTTGTACTTAACTACTGCACCACTCTGCCTGCTTAAGGTATAGAATTCCATTGTAACGGATACATCTACAGAGTCTGTATAAACATTCACATTTCTACATGTCCCCCCTCCCCTTTTTTTTTTTAAGGGTTTTGCCATGGCACATGTGCTCACCAGAGACAGTGAGAGGGAAAGTGAGAAATGACCCCCTGGGGTGGCCATAATGCAGTCCCTTCTCCTCCATTCTCCTGGGATTTTGAGTGCACAGAAAAACACACACACACACATCTAGTGTGATTTTCAAGCCACCAGGTCTGGAGCTTGAACCATGGTCGGCCATGTGGGAGTCCAGTACCTCAACCACCACGCCACCTGCTAGCCCCTTTAGATGCTTTTTGATCAAGTTGCAGTAAAGACTCCTATCCTTGAAATAATTTGGAGAGGTTTTATTACTCTAGTTCATACAACTCTACATTAGGAAAAATGCTATCATTTTCAATATAGCTGAGCCAGTAGAACATTTATTTCTTCCCTCATCAGCTGCCAGAATGTCATAATAGCAGGTGAAATACACTGAGCCTTCGCATGGTGTGCTTGTGAATTTCACTGGTAACCTTCCCTTCCCTTAACCCCATGGGACACATCTGGTAATCATGTCTTGTGTGGTCCCTTGAATCTAGACTGGCCTGGTGACTCTTAACCAAGAGAGTACGGCAGCAGTAACACTGTGCCGGCCAGGCCTACTTCTTGAAAGGACTGGTAGTTTAGTTTTTTGCTTTTGGGATCCCTAGGCTGACATGTAAGAAGCTCATGTATCTTTTTTATTTTTTTTTAGAGTTTTTTTTGCTACAGAGCGTGTGCACTCACCAGAAAGACAGAGAGAGACAGAGAGACAGAAAGCGAGAAATCACCCCCAGGGGGGATGGCCACGTCGCAATCCCTTCTCCTCTTGGGATCTTGGGCATGCACGCACATGCGCCCAGCATGAGTTTAAGTCACCGGGTCCAAGACTAGAACCATGGTCGACTACATGGGAGTTCAGTGACATAGCCATTATGCTAACTCCTGATCCCAAAGCTAATGTATCTTGCTGTATAGACAACATGGGGAGACATTTGGAAATGCACATGAACACCCAGCTGAGCCTAAGCCAGCAGAGTGTACAAGTGATCATGGATGAGACCAATAGAAAACTAGCCTAACTGAGCCCAACTAAAATAAATGGTTATTTTGTGTCTCTGATGTGCACACATGCCCTATAACAAATTTTTTTGAGAGTTTCTTTTGCTATAGGGCACGTGAGCTCGCCAGACAGACAGAGAGAGACAGAGAGACAGAAAGCGAGAAATCACCCCCCAGGGGGGATGGTCACGCCACAATCCCTTCTCCTCCATTCTCCTCTCGGGATCTTGGGCACGCACGCACACGCGCCCGGCATGAGTTTAAGCCACCGGGTCTGGGACTTGAACCGCGGTCGACTACGTGGGAGTCCAGCGACATAGCCATTACATTAACTGCTGGCCCCCCACCCTATAGCAAATTTAAAAAAGATAATAATAATAAATAAAATTAGGGGTCGAGAGTGGCATGGTGGCTAAGGGCACTGGACTCCCACATGGCTGACCATGTCTTGAGTCCTAAACCTCGTGACTTGCTTTCTCCTTTTTCCTCTCTATCTCACTCTGTCCCTCTCTGGTCAATTAAAATAAAAAAAAGTTAAAAAAAATTATACTTAAAAATAAATAAAATTAAATCTAAAAAAAAAAACACACAAAGAGTTATTGTTGGGAGCAGTTATTTTAGATGGGGAGGTTAAGGCTGGCCCCCCCAAGTCTAGATCTGAATGATCAGGAGTCAACTCTACAGAGATTAGAGGGGAGCAGGCTCCAGACAGGAGAACACAGGCTAAAAGGCCCCGGT